AGAAAAATGAACCTCCTCCATGCAGTCCGCAGCCAATCGTCGCTCATCATCAACGCCTCCAACGCTCTGCGACGATCCAGCAGCCTCTCCAGCATCAAGTAGTGGGTGGCAAACCTCGTCTGCACAGGGTACACAAGCTCCCTGCCTCGCCGCTGAGACGAGGGTGGCGCAGAGCTCGAACCACCAGCCGCCGCGGAGGCGGAAGACTGGTGGGCGGCAGAGAACCGTCGATAAAGGCTCAGAGCCGCCCCGTGCTCTTTGATGAAACACACGACAGCTCGATCCCTGATGATGGTGTCCTCCCTCTTCCCGAGGCTCCCGTCGCGCCCATCCTTCGCGATGTCTGACAACAAGAAGTTGCAGACATGGACCGCACACGGAAGCCAAGTGATGCGGCTGTACTTGACCTCCTCCAGGGCGAGGAGCTTGGACGCAGCAACATACGCAAACGCGGAATCAATACAAATGGCATTCACCTTGTCAACACCAAACTTGTCGAACACGTCCTTCCATCGCTCGACTACGGCCTCTGCTGTCTCCTGAACAGCACCATCCCGCTGCACAGTCCTGAAAAGGTACGCGCCCGTGGGACCAGCAGCAAGGAAGTTGACTATCTGGTCGCTCGTGATGGACTTCCGACCATCCGTGAGGATGGTCGCTCCCGTCGCCTCAATGTCCCTGCGGATGGCCGCCACCTTGTTCGCCACAACTCGCTGCTGCTGAGGGATGCCTTCGCACAAAATCACACGGTGCATGGGTAATGCCGGATGTGCATACGGCGGACACTCGAGCAACTTCTTCCTCATCCTATGATACTCTGGCCTCCTCGCCGCCTCAAATGGGATGCCGCTCACGTATCACCACTGCAGGACAGAGTCCGAGAATTCTCGTTGCCACACTGGATCGAAGGTCTCCAGCATGGACGTCTGTCGAAGAACTCTGCTCTTTTTGGGCTGAGAAGGTGTTGATCTCGCCTCAGTGGTAATCATCTTCGCCTTCCTCTTTCTCTTCTTCGATCCCTCAGCCTCCTTCATCGCCCTAGCTGCCCCCTCTTGGCCACGACGGCCATCGCCCATCAAACCCCCATCCAGAGAGGCCCCAAGGTCTGCTCCCTCATCGTCATCGTCGGCGTCGGCGTCCTCGTCAGGGGTGCTGTCCTCATCAACGGCCTTCTCCTTCCTCAACTCTCCCCTGCCGCGCTCCACCTCTCGCCGCACCTCCATGTCCTCTGCATCACTCTCACCATCATCATCTCCACCCTCGACCGCCCTCCTCTCCTCCTCGCTGTCCTCAAACTCCTCATTCCCCGTCGGCTCCCTCCCCGATCCACATCTGTTGTCTCGCAACCCACGAGACTTCAGAAAGTCCACGATCTTCCGTGCATGGCTTGGATCGAACCAGTACTTTGTCTTGTTCCATATCTCCGCCATCTGCTCCACGAAGATTTTGGCGCAATTGTTCTTGATCGTGAAGTGTTGTGCGGCTTTCGTCTCGCTCCCCTGAAAACCCTAACCACACAGCTTGCACTCCATGAGGAAATTGCCATTCGAATTTGGCATCGTCTGCCCCTTCGTAACATACTTAAAGCGGGAAAACTTCAGCTCCGCCTCCCTGTGCTTGTCTTTACTGACCGGAACGAATGGCTGATCTCCCCTCCCTTTCTTGGGCGCCATTGTAGCCTTGTAGGTAGCCCACTGCCCACAGATGCTGGAGCGGAGCTCAGTGGACAGCGCCAAAGCCCGTCCTGCCCAGGCCTGTCCCCCTTCACCCCCCC